TGTACCTTCCTTTAAGAAGAAAGCAAAGGTTAAGTGTAACAGATATCTACAAAATGCATTGTCCACATAGTATTTATATCACCTTCTTATTAGTTACAAGGAGAACACTGCAGGTCCAGGTAGCACCAACAGTGGCTGATAAAGCTAATTAAAGGTTTTTAGTAAATTACTTTTGTACCTGTGTTTTCTTATGAGGTACTTGCAATGCCTCAGTAAGTAATCTTTTGAAGGTCTACACAACTTCAGTGACCAGAAGTCATCTAGTCTCATCTTTGGAGAGCAAGATTTTCCTGGATTTCCACCAAATAAATAATGAACCTACAATAAACACAATCAGAATTTTAAGAACTCATACACACTCAAGAAACCAAGTCACAAAAATTTCTTTCCTTTATTAACAGTGCATGACCAGATAACTTTCTTTGCTTTACTCATTTAAAAAAAATTTTTTTTAATCACTACATTTTTACCAAAGGTTTCTCCATCCCCAACCCCCTATTAGTTTGTTTTTAGAGACAGGGTCTCCCTGTTGCCCCAGCTGGCCTGAAACTACGCAGACAAGGTTAGCCTGGATTTTACAGAGATCTGCCTGCCTCTGTCCTCCGAGTACAGAGATTAAAGGCAAAAGCCAAGACATTCATCCAAAGATTTCTCTTAATTTTTCTTACTTTCCATCTTACTCTGAAGCACTTTCCCAAACTACATTCTATATAAAACTCGTACTATCCCAATTACAACATAGTGGAAGAGGAAAGAAAAAAAAAGACAGGAATAAGCTGATCCAAGGTGTAGTTTGTATAAGCCACAAATAAAGGGGGTAATTAAGTGTTGGTCTTAAAAAACTCTTGACATAAAATTTGAATTGAATCACTCAAGGTCAACAGTATTATTAAAAGTTGAAGCCTGGCATGGTGGCACACACTTTTAATTCCAGCACTTGGGAGGCAGGCAGATCTCTGTGAGTTCAAGACCAGCCTGATCTACATAGAGTTCTAGGCCAGCTGGATCTACAGGGAGACCCTGTCTCAAAAAGATAAAAAATTTTTAAAAACTTGACTAAAAACTTTTAACATTTTATTTTGCTTTAACTTAAATGTCAAATGTTAAATGACACATATAATAATTTTAGAGTAACTTTTAGATTATTATTCTATTATTCAATTGGTACCAAACAAGAAATGTAAAAGGACTATAATAGTGATTTCACTATTATACTAGAATTATATGTTATTCTATACGTACACTAAATTTTGTTTTGTTTTGTTTTGTTTTTTTGTCTTTTTGAGACAGGGTCTCCCTGTAGCTCCAGCTGTTCTGGAACTCACTATGTAGACCAGGCTGGCCTGGAACTCACAGAGATCTGCCTGCCTCTGCCTCCCAAGTGCTGGGATTAAAGGCGTGCACCACCATGCCTGGCCATACACTAAATAGTAAAGCATTTCCCTGAGAATTTGAAAACATTTATAGTCATGGTATTACATAATAGATAGTATTTCTAGTCAATTAATTGGAAATTATTCATTAACCCATAAAATTGGAAAACTCTAGGAGTAAGGGCTTTTATTCATTCCCATGGTGTTCTCATTCCTTGTTACCTAGAGGTCTCAAATTATTAGCACAGACTTTAAATGTTCATCTCTGCTCCAAACAGAATTCGTTCTGCTGGTAAACTCCATATAACCTGAATCCAATCCCCAAATTCCATGGTAAATTTAAGGGAGAAATAGTTAACCTACTCTGACTACTTAGTGACACAAAAACTTCAGAATTCAAGATCATTCTCACAAGACTGGTGGAACAAAGGTCATATACCTGTTTCTTGTCATACCAAGGCACCCAAATGCTAAAATCTGCTTTTTATACTTGTATATTCACAATGTGGAAACAATAAACCATGCTCTACATCCGACCTATATAGCTAAAAAGAAAACCACTGACAATTTTTATAACAGGAAAAATGTTGTGGTGTATACCTGTAATCCCAACACTTAGAGGCGAAAGAAGAAGGATCTCAAGTTGAAGATCAGCCTGGGCTACTTAGTGAGACTTCGTCTGGGTGTGTGTGAGGAGGGGGTGGAATAAAAGAGGAAAAGCATCAAGAATCATAGACCATAAAAAAGGTTTATTTTCTTAAAGAATTTTAGGGCAAGGTTACTTGGGAAGCTGAGGCATGATGATCATAAGCTTGGTTGGGCTACAGAGTAAGTTCAAGGGCACCCTGGGCAACTTATCTAGTGTTGAAATAAAAAGTAAAAGGAAGGCTAGGATATAGCTCAGTGGTAGAGTCTGCCTAGCATGTATGGGTCCCATAAATTCAGTCCCCAGTGTGTTGGGGAGAGGAGGAGATTTTAAGGACTATTACATTGAATGCCTGCTAATTGTATTAGATGTCTGCCTCTGCATTAAAACTGTAAATTCAAATCTACTAAAAAATAATCAAAAGTAAGCTGGGTGTGGTAGTCCATGCCTTTAATCCCAGCACTCAGGAGACAGAGGTAGGTGGATCTCTGTGAGTTGGGAGGCCAGCCTGGTCTACAAAAGGAGTTCCAGGACAGCAACTGGAGCTATAGGAAATCCCTGTCTCAAAACACAAACAAAAAATCAGAAATATGGTATATTCAGATATCCTTTCAGGCTGCAGGCTGGAGATGTACAGATCACTGTCAACATACCTTGTGCAGCTCATCATAGACAAGCTGATGGGCAAACCGTGGGCATGGTTCTTCCTCTTGCAGGCTTTTACTTGGATTATCTTTTGCAGCTTGATCATTCTTATAGACACATGACCTGCAAGACATTGCTTTTAAGACATTGTACTCTGGAGAATCAGCAGCAAACACAATGCTAATATAGCACTGTGTTGTATTAAGCCAGCAAATTAACTGCCAATGTCCAATTACCACCAAAAAAATCTACATACACTATTCATATCAAAGTTTAAATAACTTGGGGCTAGAGAGATGGCTTAGTGGTTAGGAGCATTGGCTATTCTTACAGAAGCCCTGGGTTCAAATTCCAGCACCCACATGGTGGCTAACGATCATCAGTAACACCAGTTCCACGGGATCCAACACCCTCTTCTGGTCTCATGGTCACTGCACAACATGGGACATGGGTGTACTTATATACATGCAGGCATAACACTCATACACATAAAAAAAATTTTTTTTAATTTTAAATTTTTTTAAAGTTTAAATAACTCTCATAAAATGATGTGAACTTGTTAGAACTGAGTTCTGACATTTTAAAAGCAGCTCACTTTAGCACAACCTATCTTGTGCTATGAAATATAAACAGTACACATGAAGATGCTAAATATTGAAGGGGGTGTTGCCCTTTTTATTCACAGTAAAAAGACTCAAAGTACACTTTCATTTTGAATGCAAATAAAATGTCCTGTTTAGAAAACAATAAATTCTTTAGTTGCTGAGCACTGCTTTCCATTAGAAAGTGAAGCAAGTTCTTTGACATGCTTCTGTTCTGACATTGACTCCAAGAGCTGGATCTTCTATGCCAGCATTCCCCAAAGCAAAGTATGTAGCGTCTGTTCTGGGAGATGCTCTATAGGAAACATCCTGGTTTGGAAATGCTAACTCTAACCTTTTCACTTCATTAACACTAGGCTATAAGGATACTAAAAAAGCATTTGTCTCAACTCCACCTGTCTTCTTGGTAGCAAAACCTAAACTCAAATACAATGCTGTTAAGTCCCTAGAACAGGAAGAATCTAGAAACTAAATGAACAACACAGAGGTAAAATTCCACTCACCTAACATCACTTGTATACACAAGCACTAATTTTTTCTAAAAGATTTATTTTTATGTTTATGTGTGTGCCTACACGTATGCATGTGCACCATGTGTGTGCCAGTTGCCACAGAGGCCAGAAGAGGAGGCTGGATCCCCTGGAACTGGAATTACAGGTAGTTTTAGAGCTACTCAACATAGGTCCAGAAAATCAGGTCTTTTCCAAGAGCAGCATGTGCTCTTAACTGCTGATCCATCTCTCCAGCCCCACAACTACTGATTTTTATCTATGACATTGATTTCTTTAAAATACTAATATTTTAGGCCAAGTGTAGTGGCTCATACCTATAATCTCAAGCGGAAGCAAGGGAATCTCGAGTTCAAGGCCAGCTAGAACTACAAATAAGAATGTCTCAAAAACTAAAACAAGAACCCTGATATTCTTTCAGTATCAGAAATGAACACAAGCCTTCCATTCCATTTCTCTCATCTTCCAAAAGAGCCAACAATTTCACATAAATATTACTGGGACTGCAGGCACAGACAAGAATCCTTACCAACTATTCCTCACAATGTCATAAATCCAAAATGAATTCCTGACATTCTCTTCCCTCTTCTCCTTGTCTTTGCTAAGGCCGGATAAGACATGTATTTCATTCAGTTCTGGGTCAATCGTTGCTCTCTGTGTGAATCCTGTCATTGGAACTATAGGTTTAATGAAAAAAATGAGAGAGAAATACATTAGACAGCAGATTAGTATTAACTCTTTAAAACATTATACCTATTTTGCTCTATATGTCCACAGTGCTTAAATTCCAGCACACTTCAAAGTCTTATTTATTAAACAAAAGACAAGCGTTATTGCCTCCCTCCTGCTCTAGAATGTTAGCAGCACAAAGGCAGAGGCTGCTTTGTTTACTACTTAGTTCTCAGTGTCTAGAGTAGAACCTGGCATATAATAAGTACTTAACTATTTCTTGAAAGAATAAATGAATGTCAAGTACCAGAACAGAGCTGGAAGGAGGAAAGAGGTATGCAATATAATTTTTAAAATATGAAGTAGGAAAGGATAACATGGTCAGTTACCCAGCCATCAGTTAAGATGGCTCAGGGGTTAAAGGTGTTTGCCACCAAGCCTGACAACTTGAGTTCAACCCCCAGGACCCACATGGTGGAAGAAGAGAGTTGACTCCTGAAAGTTGTCATATGACCTCCACTTGTGTTTTGTGCCATGGTATACCACAAAATAAGTAAATACATAAATAAATTTTTCAAAACAACCTAGAAAAACAAAACATACAAAATGAAACTGAAACATGGATTAGTAAGATAAGCCATTTAAAATATTCATAACCTAACAATAATATCAAAGAAAAAAATTTAAATGCAGATGTTATTTAACTTTCTGAGAGGCTTAAATTTTCCAGTGTTATTTTTTTTTGAAACCCATTAAATAAATGATGTTCATGATGCATCAGCCAGCAATTTGTAAAACACTCACAAGGCAAACACAATTTTTCTGTATTTTTACTTAGAAATTTTAGTTGAAATATATTTTAATATGTAGTCCATCTTATGGTCTCAAGTACTTCACAATATAACTTCTCTAATACAAAATAATGCCATTGCTTCAATACTACATAACTTTTACACATGGTGAATTACCATTTGCTCAAAAAGCTAAGAAACATCAGAGTGAAGTAAAATATCTTAATCCACAATAATATTGAAGATCTTAGCTACACTGATCACCTATGGTATTCTTCTTAATAAAGCTTAATAAACTTCCAGAAGCAGAAGTTCTGACTTGCTTTTCTCAGACAACGCTAGAGAGTGGTAACACAGTACAGAAATGGGCATGCTGGCTTACACTTGCAATCTCAGCTCTCAGCTGAGGCAAGCAGCTCAAGGCCAGCCTGGACTATACACTGAATTTAAGGCTAGCTTGGGCTACATTGTGAGACCTGGCACAAAAGAAACAACAACAAGAAAAATGCAATTACCTTCATAAGAGATAGAAGTAGAGGATGCAACTGCTTAAACTGAATACACTTAAATTTCTTTAGCTCATTTTGTCTTGTAGTATGTAAATTAAGAAATCTTTTTGAAAAAATTATTTATTTTAGGCCGGGCGTGGTGGTGCATGCCTTTAATCCCAGCACTTGGGAGGCAGAGGCAGGCACATCTTTGTGAGTTCCAGGATAGTTGGGGCTACAAGGAGACCCTGTCTCAAAAGAAAGACAAAAAAAATATTTTTATTTTATGTGTACGAATGTATTGCCTGCATATGTGCAAGAGCACCCGTGTGGTGCAAAGCCCTTGGAGGTCAGAAGAGGGTGTTGGATCCCCTAGAACTGTAGTTATGATGGTTGTTAGCCACCATGTGGATACTAGGAATTGAACCACGGACCTCTGCAAGAGCACCCAATGCTCTTAGCCGCTGAGCTGTCTCTCCAGCTCTGTGAATTAAGAATTCTAAAACATGGCACAGCACACTATCACTTGATCTGGCCGCCTGCTTAGGGTCATGCCAGTTCATTTATAGGTTGTCCATGGCTACTGTCACTTAACAATGTCAATGTTAAGTAGTTCTAACAGCAAATGCATAGCCTTCAGATAGAAAAATATTTGTATTTGGCTTTTTATAGCAAAGTTTGTTGACGTTCTCTATTAAAATACAAATATCGAGTATGTCTTACATGAACCAATGCAACAAACTTCTGGCTTTAAAACACCTACAGAAGACTGGGTGTGCTAACACACGCCTTTAATCCCAGCATTCATGAGGCAGAGGCAGGCAGGTATCTGACTTCGAGGCTAGCCTGGTCTACAAAGCAAGTTCCAGGCCAGACAGGATTATACAGTGAGACCCTGTCTTAAAACAAAAACAAAAACAAAAACACCTAGATAAGGATCCACTAAAGGAGCAGAAATTTTTTTAATAACTCATTTTTATTGATTTTTTTGTGTGTGTTTCATACAGAACATTTCAAACAATCTTATTCATCTTTATACCTGCATCTCAAATAGCACCTTCCCATAGCCTCTCCCCGACCCCCTACTGGAGCCCATATACTGTGTCATCCCTGTTACTATCCACTGCATTGTCAGTTTTTTTCTTTTTAGTTTTTTAAGACAGGGTCTCCATGCAGACCCAGGTGGTCTGGAACTTGCTATGTAGACCAGGCTGGCCTGAAATTCAGAGATCCACCTACTTCTGCTCCTGAGTGCTGGGATGAAAGGCCTGAATCATGCCCGGCTTCTGAAATTTTCAAGAGGAATGGAAATTAATAGAGAGAGAAATTTTGCATTCTATAAAATTAAAATTGCAAAGCTGTCATGAAAGGAAAAGAATTACAGGAACAGTGGGACTGGGAGGAGCATGTCAGAATGTAGACATGAAGACAGTTGACCTTTCCAGCTCTCCTTATATGAAATGTCTTATTTTCCTCAGCAACAACTTGTTTGTAGAGAATGACTGTCCTGTAAGAGCAGCAGTGGGCATATCTGTACTGAGAGAAGAAAGACTACATGCTTATAAAATCTGTACTCTAAGGTAGTATAAAAATTAATTTTAGTAGAGAACATGTGGCAGTCTCATTTCTCTGATCTTTGACATTTAATGACTTTTACTTTGTATAATGTTGCTTTTTGCTTCCAAGCCAACAGTCAAGCTATTATCCATTTTTATGGCTTTAAAATAAGGATATAATTCACATACTATACAGTCACTAATGTAAACAAGCTCAGTTTAGTATTTTTTAGTATATTCACAGTTGTGAAATCATGCCAATTTAACTTTACAACATTTTCATTACTTCAAAAAGAAACCCTGTACCCATTAAGTCACCCTTCCCCTTCTCCTCCCACAGAGCTATACTATTTGACATACTTTCTACTATCTATTTAGGATGCTTCCAATTTCTCTACATTATTTACAGTTGTTACTGTCTTTCATATGGTAAGGAAGCTGTAACTATTATCAGTTATCTTAGTGAGTGTAAAATTTTCATTTATCTTTTGCTTTGCTATTGTTCTCTAAGACCAAGTCTTGCTATGTAGCCTAGGCTGGTCTTGAACTCTTCTAGATCCTTCTGCCCTAGCCTCCGGAGTGCTAGAATTATAAGAATGCTTGCCACCTTGCATGGTTGAAGCGATATTTCATCATGGTTTTGATTTGCATTTCTTAAGGACTAATGATGCTGAGTAACTTTTACTGTGCCATTGGCCACTTCTGCATCTTCTTTGGAAATACTTCACCTGTTTTAAAATTAGGAATGATACAAGTCTTTCAGATATATGACTTGCAAATCTTTGCTCTTATTCTGTGGGTTGTCTTTACACCATCCCCCAACATATGTGCAGAAATCAAAGGACCACCTTGGATGATGACCCTTGCCTTCTACCTTGTTTGAGACAGGGTTTATCTCACTTTGTTGTAAAAGCCAGGCTAGCCGGCCTATGAATTTCTGGAGATTCTCCTATCTCCTCCTCCCATCATGCACTACCACATCTGGCTGGCTTTATCCTCACTCAGGTCCTCATGATGTTTGCACAACAAGCTCATTTACCAACTGAGCTATTTCTTGAGCCCCATCTTTACATTTTACTAATGGTATTCTTTGAAGTTCAAAGGTTTTAATTTTTGATGAAGTCCCATCTCTCTCTCTCTTCTCTCTCTCTCTCTCTCTCTCTCTCTCTCTCTCTC